CAATATTGCACAAAAGTAAATCTTCTATTTTTTGGTTTGAACAAAAATTAATTATGTGAATAAGAAAATCAAAATGGAATTCATTAGTAAAGTCTGAAAACATAACTAATGAACAGAGGAAATGTTAGTTTAGTGCAAGGAATGCTTTCACTGTTTATTCTGGACCCTATTTTGAAATTGAAGTATTTTGAACTTTGCATTAAATTGGCCAAATTACCAATTTCCGATCACTTTATTTTGTAGTTGAAACAGTTGACTTGGCGAATTCTTGTGCTCAATTAACAGAATATAAGTATTACTAGTGAAATAGCTAAGAATCTGGTCAACTGGAATAATGTAATTGGCTTAAAATAGGAGTCAAAGTTGGCAAAATCGCCGATGCGTAAATATTGCTGACACATCAAAATTCGTGAGAGCATAATTTTATCAATTTTCCATCAAATGTCGTACTTTTTGTTTTATTACCTTCAGAGTCCTTCTTGTCTTCACTGTGAATACTTCCTTAAATCTCGTGTTGAGCTCCTCGCATACCTCTTGATCATTTCTTGTAATTTCCCCACCTTCTTTCCTCAGCCTGATCACCTGGTTTTTGACTGTTGTCTTTCTCCTAATGTGGCTAAACAGCAGTTTCTGGTCAGACTTGACTTTCCATGCTACATCATTTTCGTACTATCGCCGGGCTTCCCTCCTTATCTGTGCATATTCATTTCTGGCTCTTCGAATGATCTCCTTGTTTTCCTGGGTCCTTTGCCTTCTATACCTCTTCCATTCTCTAATGCACTTAGTTTTTACCTCCCTGCACCTTCGGGTAAACCAAGGACTCGCTTTGGTCTTCCCATTGGTTTCTGTTGCCCTTGGGAACAAACCTTTCCTCTGCCTCCTCGCATTTTTGCTTTGTGGGCGAGGGGCCTGGACTTCCAGCAAGCATGCGTGAGCGTGTTAGATAGGAGTGAATGGAGACAAATGGTATTTGGGACCTGACGATCTGTTGGAGTGTGAGCAGGGTAATATTTAGTGAAGGGATTCAGGGAAACCTGTTATTTTTATATAGCCGGACTTGAGTCCTGGAAATGGGAAGTACAATGCCTGCACTCTAAAGGAGGGGTTTGGGATATTAGCAGTCTGGAGGGATATGTTGTGTATCTTTATAGGTATATGCTTCTAAACTGTTGTGTTCTGAGCTCCTCTGCAAAAGCAGTGATTATGTGCGAGTGTGGTGAAAGTGTTGCATGATGAAAGTATTTTCTTTTTGGGGATTTTCTTTCTTTATTGGGTCACCCTGCTTCGGTGGGAGACAGCCGACTTGTTAACCCGTAAACGGTCCAAACGTACATACTATATGTTTTTTCAACATTTGAAAGTATGTAAAAAAAGTAGATCTTCTTTTTGTTTTTTTACATTTGAAAATGTGTAAAAAAACGTAGATCTGCTTTTGTAGCACTACACATGTGAACGTAGATCTGCTTGGACTGTTTACGGGTTAAAAAAAAAAAAAAATCCATCATTTCATTTACTTACTTTCCTACCATTTCTCTGTCTCACTGCACCTCCCACAGGAAGTTCCTCATACCTGTGTAGTCCCCCCTTTTATAGTTTGGCTTTTCCCCTTTGACTCCTGTTACCTCCACTTGTAACTCTACTATGTAATCAAAACTCAGGAATACGTGGTCACTCGCTCCGAGGGGCCTCTAATATGTAATGTCATCAATGTCTGAGGTACTCAGGGTGAACACAAGGTCCAGTCTTGCTGGTTCATCCTCCCCTCTCTCTCTGGTAGTGTCCCTGATGTGTTGATGCATGAGGTTTTCCAGTACCAAATCCATCATCTTGGCTCTCCATGTTTCGGGGCCCCCATAAGGCTCCAGGTTTTCCCAATCGATCTCCCTGGGATTGAAATCACCCATAACCAGTAACTGCTCTGCACGATTGAGCTCTTCATGCCACCTCAGCCAGTGTGTCCACCATCGCTCTGTTGTTCTCATCATATTCCTCTCTTGGCCTCCTGCAGTTCTGTGGTGGGTTATACATCACTACAATGACTACCTTATGTTCCCCAGATTGAATTGTACCTACTATGTAGTCCCTTCCTCCAATCTCATTCATGCCTTCCATTTCCTCAAAACTCCATCAGCTTTTATGAGCAGTGCAACCCCTCCTCCCCCTCTGCTCCTTCTATCTTTCCTCAGGATCTGATATCCCAGTGGGAAGACTGCATCTGTGTGTGTGTGTGTGTGTGTGTACTCACCTAGTTGAGGTTGCAGGGGTCGAGTCCAAGCTCCTGGCCCTGCCTCTTCACTGGTCGCTACTAGGTCACTCTCCCTGAACCATGAGCTTTATCGTACCTCTGCTTAAAGCTATGTATGGATCCTGCCTCCACTACATCGCTTCCCAAACTATTCCACTTCCTGACTACTCTGTGGCTGAAGAAATACTTCCTAACATCCCTTTGACTCATCTGTGTCTTCAGCTTCCAACTGTGTCCCCGTGTTGCTGTGTCCAGTCTCTGGAACATCCTGTCTTTGTCCACCTTGTCAATTCCTCTCAGTATTTTGTAAGTCGTTATCATGTCCCCCCTATCTCTCCTGTCCTCCAGTGTCGTCAGGTTGATTTCCCTTAACCTCTCCTCATAGGACATACCTCTTAATTCTGGGACTAGTCTTGTTGCAAACCTTTGCACTTTCTCTAGTTTCTTTACATGCTTGGCTAGGTGTGGGTTCCAAACTGGTGCCGCATACTCTAATATGGGCCTAACGTACACGGTGTACAGGGTCCTGAACGATTCCTTATTAATATGTCGGAATGCTGTTCTGAGGTTTGCCAGGCGCCCATATGCTGCGGCAGTTATTTGGTTGATGTGCGCTTCTGGAGATGTGCCTGGTGTTATACTCACCCCAAGATCTTTTTCCTTGAGTGATGTTTGTAGTCTCTGGCCCCCTAGACTGTACTCCATCTGTGGTCTTCTTTGCCCCTCCCCAATCCTCATGACTTTGCACTTGGTGGGATTGAACTCCAGGAGCCAGTTGCTGGACCAGGTCTGCAGCCTGTCCAGATCCCTTTGTATTTCTGCCTGGTCTTCGATCGAATGAATTCTTCTCATCAACTTCACGTCATCTGCAAACATGGACACCTTGGAGTTTATTCCTTCTATCATGTCGTTCACAAATACCAGAAACAGCACTGGTCCTAGGACTGACCCCTGTGGGACCCCGCTGGTCACAGGTGCCCACTCTGACACCTCGCCACGTACCATTACTCGCTGCTGTCTTCCTGACAAGTATTCCCTGATCCATTGCAGTGCCTTCCCTGTTATCCCTGCTTGGTCCTCCAGTTTTTGCACTAATCTCTTGTGTGGTACTGTGTCAAACGCCTTCTTGCAGTCCAAGAAAATGCAATCCACCCACCCCTCTCTCTCTTGTCTTACTGCTGTCACCATGTCATAGAACTCCAGTAGGTTTGTGACACAGGATTTCCCGTCTCTGAAACCATGTTGGCTGCTGGTGATGAGATCATTCCTTTCTAGATGTTCCACCATTCTTCTCCTGACAATCTTTTCCATGATTTTGCATGCTATACATGTCAGTGACACTGGTCTGTAGTTTAGTGCTTCATGTCTGTCTCCTTTTTTAAAGATTGGGACCACATTTGCTGTCTTCCATGCCTCAGGCAATCTCCCTGTTTCGATAGATGTATTGAATATTGCTGTTAGGGGTACACATAGCGCCTCTGCTTCCTCTCTCAGGACCCATGGAGAGATGTTATCTGGCCCCATTGCCTTTGAGGTATCTAGCTCACTCAGAAGCCTCTTCACTTCTTCCTCGGTTGTGTGTACTGTGTCCAGCACATGGTGGCGTACCCCACCTCTCCGGCTTTCTGGAGCCCCTTCTGTCTCCACTGTGAACACTTCTTTGAATCTCTTGTTGAGTTCCTCACATACTTCACGGTCATTTCTTGTTGTCTCTCCTCCTTCCTTCCTTAGCCTGATTACCTGGTCCTTAACGGTTGTTTTCTTCCTGATGTGGCTGTATAACAGCTTCGGGTCAGATTTGGCTTTTGCTGCTATGACGTTTTCATATTGACATTGGGCCTCCCTTCTTATCTGTGCATATTCGTTTCTGGCTCTACAACTGCTCTCCTTATTCTCCTGGGTCCTTTGCCTTCTATATTTCTTCCATTCCCCAGCACACTTGGTTTTTGCCTCCTTGCATCTTTGGGTGAACCATGGGCTCATCCTGGCTTTTTCATTATTCCTGTTACCCTTGGGTACAAACCTCTCCTCAGCCTCCTTGCACAATGTTTCTACATATTCCATCATCTCATTAACTGGCTTCCCTGCCAGTTCTCTGTCCCACTGAACCTCATTCAGGAAGTTCCTCATTCCTGTGTAGTCCCCTTTCCTGTAGTTTGGTTTCATTCGTCCTGGCCTTCCTGCTTCCCCCTCCACTTGTAGCTCTACTGTGTATTCGAAGCTCAAAACCACATGATCGCTGGCCCCAAGGGGTCTTTCATATGTGTGTGTGTGTGTGTGTGTGTGTGTGTGTGTGTGTGTGTGTGTAGGTCTGTGTGTGTGTGTGTGTCTGTGTGTGTGTGTGTCTGTGTGTGTGTGTGTGTCTGTGTGTGTGTGTGTGTGTGTGTGTGTGTGTGTGTGTGTGTGTGTGTGTGTGTGTGTGTGTCTGTGTGTGTGTGTGTCTGTGTGTGTGTGTGTGTGTGTGTCTGTGTCTGTCTGTCTGTGTCTGTCTGTGTGTGCATGTGTCTGTGTCTGTGTGTGTCTGTCTGTGTCTGACTGTGTCTGTCTGTCTCTCTCTCTCTTACAAGCAGGTAGGCACACACAGTACAACTATCTTATTTCACATACAAACTACTATAAGTGCATATCCATATAGCCATCTATCCTGCAAAACACAAGTTATCTTATATGATTGTAATTATGAATGTCTCTCCCACACACACAAGTATGGATCTAAATAAACATGCAGATTTCTTTCTTTACATCAGTTACTTACCAAATTTGCCATCTCTTTAGCAACTAGGCTTCTTACGGCATCTAATTCTTCTAAGTTATTAGTTGTTTTTATCACATTAACAAACAACTCGCATGTTATTGGAATGTCTGTGCACTGGAAAAAAAGAAAATTAATTGAAGTATATAATACACATAGCATTTAATCTTGAAACAAAGCCACACATCATACAACTTAATTTTACACATCAAAAAGCTTTATGAGAAGTTTTCACCAAGCAGAAGTGATATAAGGAGGAAGGAGCATATGGAGAGGAAAAAAGGGTACGAGTGGTAAGGGAATGTAAAAAGAGAGCAAATGAGAGAGTTGGTGAGGTGCTGTCAACAAATTTTGCTGAGAATAAACAAACATTTTGGAGTGAGATTAAGATGAGAAAGCCTAGGGAACAAATAGATCTGGCAGTTAAAAACGTAAGAGGAGAGCTATTATATGGGGAGTTGGAGGTATAAGGATGACGGAGAAAATATTCTGAGGAACTGTTAAATGTTGATGAAGAGAGGGAAGCTGTGATTTCATACACTGGCCAGGGAGGTAACATCTTTTAGGAGTGAAGAAAAGCCAAATGTGAGTGTGGGGAAGGTGTGTGAGGCTGTGGGTAAAATGAAAAAGGGGTACAGCAGCTGGGATTGATGGGATCAAGACAGAACTGCTAAAAGAAGGTGGGGATATAGTTTTGGAGTTTTCGAGAGTGTATAAATTTGTAGTGGAGGGAAGGCGGGGTAGGGGTCGGCCTAGAAAGGGTTGGAAGGAGGGGGTAAAGGAGGTTTTGTGTGTGAGGGGCTTGGACTTCCAGCAAGCGTGCATGGGCATATTTGATAGGAGTGAATGGAGACGAGTGGTTTTTAGTACTTGACGTGCTGTTGGAGTGTGAGCAAAGTAATATTTATGAAGGGAATCAGGGAAACCAGCAGGCCAGACTTGAGTCCTGGAGATGGGAAGTACAGTGTCTACACTGAAGGAGAGGTGTTAATGTTGCAGTGTTATAACTGTAGTGTAAAGCACCCCTCTGGCAAGACAGTGATGGAGTGAAAGATGATTTAAGTTTTTTTTTTCGGGCCACCCTGCCTTGGTGGGAACTGGCCCATGTGTTAATAAAAATAAAAATCTATGAAAGAGGGGAAGGTACCTAGAGATTGGCAGAGAGAATGTATAGCTCCTTTGTATGAAGGCAAAGAGGACAAGAGAGTAAGAATTATAGGGAATAAGCCTATTGAGTATACCTAGTAAGGTGTATGGTAGAGCTATTATCGAGAGAATTATACACAAATAACCTGCACATAGAAGAGAGCTAATGGCAACGTATCGGTCCGACTTGGACCATTTACAAAGTCACACTAACAGAAAGAAGAGGAGGAGGGAGTATATATAGGCAAGCAGACAGAAAGCAGGGTTGCAGATGAACAAGGAGGCTTTAGGAAGGGTAGGGTATGCATAGACCAAGTGTTTACACTGAAACATTTAAGTGAGCAGTATTAAGATAAGGGTAAAGAAATTTTTGTTGCATTTATGGATTTGGAAAAGATATGGGAGTGGACTTGTCAGCAGATGGGTCTATGAAAGATGAAGTGAACCACAGAACTGATGAGGGGAAAAAGGTGAGTGGTGCATTGAGGCAGCTGTGGAGACAAAGAATGTCATCCATGGAAGCAAAAAGAGGAATGCGAGTAGTGGTACCAATGCTCTTATATGAGTGTAAAGCATAGGTTGTGAATGTTGCAGTAAAGATGTTTTTGATGGTAATGTGTGGTGTGAATATTATGCAGAGAATTTGGAGCTTGGAGATCAGAAGGAGGTGCAAAGTTATTAAAAGTATTATCCAGAGGGCTGAAGAGGGGTTGTTGAGGTTGTTTGGACATTTAGAGAGACATTTAGAAACATTTAGAGGGGAAGTGGAACAGAATTCTTCCTCTGTAAGCCATGCGTGTCGTAAGAGGCGACTAAAATGCCGGGAGCAAGGGGCTAGTAACCCCTTCTCCTGTATATATTACTAAATGTAAAGGGAGATACTTTTGTTTTTCCTTTTGGGCCACCCCGCCTTAGTGGGATATGGCCGGTTTGTTGAAAGAAAGAAAAGAAACAAAATAGGATGACTTTGAGGGTGCATAAATCTGTAGTGGTGGGAAGATGAGGTATAGGTCCTCCTAAGAAAGGTTGGAGGGAGACAGGGAGTAGAGGAGGATTTATGTGTGAGGGTCCTAGACATCCAGCAAGCGTGTATGTGTTAGAAAGGAGTGGAGGCAAGTGGTTTTTATGACTTGACATGCTGCTGGAGTGTGAGTAAAGTAACATTTGAAAAGGTATTCAGGGAAACCGTTTAGCTGGACTTGAGGCCTGGAGGTGAGAAGTACAGTGCCTGCACTCTCAAGGTGTTGTTTGTGATATGTATTTGCTGTTTGGAGGGACATCTTAACCCTTAAACGGTCCAAACGTATATATATGTTCTTACGCATAGCGCCCCAAACGCATATATGTTTTATTTTTCCTGCCTTCAAATTTGGCACGATTGGCCTGAGATGCCTTGTCAGCATAGAATGGGTCCTAACACTCAGTGTGCATGGTATTAAAAAAATCTGGGACCACTTAGTACCTTGTGGGAGCGCCAGTTAAATTGAGCACCAGCTAGAGCAAATAGTGCGGCAAACACCAAGGATTCACTGATGTAATGTCATATTAACACTCCTCTTTTAAGAGGAAAGTGATGTTAACCCCAAGTTTAGGGTCTGTCTATCTCTGTATCTCTGTCTATATCTGTCTGTCTGTCTCTGTCTACCTCTGTCTCTGTCTACATTTGTCTCTACCTCTGTCTCTGTCTACCTCTGTCTCTGTCTCTTTGTCTATCTGTCTCTCTTTCAATCTGTCTATCTGTCTGTCCATCTCTGTCTCACAGGTACACAGTATACAAGTATACATAGTGTAAATTACCTGGGATAACCCCAAAAAATCCAGACAAAGTGCTATACTCTGCTTGAAGATGTGAGTAAATGTGATGATGACGTAGTCTTGTGGCTCTCTCTCTGAGACAGAGCTAGACAGATAGACAGGCTTGACAGACAAACAGACAGACATGTTTGTGTACCAGCAAAAACAAAGTGAGGGTGATGCTCATCAAATATCACCTCTAATTTTTTCTTATCAGCTGCACCCTCCCCCACCCTTGAGTATGCTCATCAAACATCAGCTCTTATCAGTTGTTATCTCATCATGTCACTGTCAGGGGCGGACTTTGTTTTTCATGCTTCAAGGGAACTTATTATTACCTATTATTATTATTACGTATTATTCTTCTCCTCATTCTCTTCCTCCCCTCTCCTTCTCTTCCTCCCCTCTCCTCCTTCTCTTCCTCCCCCTCCTCCTTCTCTTCCTCCCCCTTCTTCTCCTTCTCTTCCTCCCCCCTCTTCTCATTCTCTTCCTCCCCTTCTTCTCATTCTCTTCCTCCCCCTTCTTCTCATTCTCTTCCTCCTCCTCCTCCTCTTCTCCTTCCTTCCCTCTCCTTCCTTCTCCTTCTTTTCTCCTCCCTCTCCTTCTCTTCCTCCCCTTCTTCTCATCTCTCTTCCTCCCCCTTCTTCTCATCCTCTTCCTCCTCCTCCTCCTCCTCCTTCTCCTTCTTCTTCCTCCTCCTCCTCCTCTTCCTCCTCCTCCTTCTCTTCCTCCTCCTTCTTCTCCTTCTCTTCCTCCTCCTTCCTTCTCCTTCTCTTCTCCATCCCCTCCTCTTCCTCCCCCTTCCTCTTCCTCCCCCTCCTCTTCCTTCTCCTCCTCCTCTTCTCCTCCTCCTCCTCCTCTTCCTTCCTCCTCTTCTCTCACCTCCTCCTCTTCTCTTCCTCCTCCTCCTTCTCTCTTCCTCCTTCTCTTCCTCCTCCTCCTTCTCTTCCTCCTCCTCCTCCTTCTCTTCCTCCTCCTCCTCCTTCTCTTCCTCCTCCTCCTTCTCTTCCTCCTCCTCCTCCTCCTTCTCCTTCCTCCTCCTCCTCTTTCCTCCTCCCCCTTCTCTTCCTCTCCTCCTCCTTCTCTTTCCCCCTCCTCCTTCTCTCCTCCTCCTTCTCTTCCTCCTCCTCCTCCTTCTCTTCCTCTTCCTCCTCCTCCCTCACTTCCTCCTCCTTCTCTTCTCCTCCTCCTCCTTCCTCCTCCCCTCTCCTCCTCCCCTCTCCTCCTCCTCCTCTTCCTCCCCTCTCCTCCTCCTCCTTCTCTTCCTCCTCCCTCTCCTCCTCCTCCTTCTCTTCCTCCCCTCTCCTCCTTCTCTTCCTCCCCTCTCCTCCTTCTCTTCCTCTCCCCTCCTCCTTCTCTTCCTCCCCCTCCTCCTCCTCTTCCCACTCCTCCTCCTCCCCCTCCTCTCCTCCTCCCCTCCTCTTCTCCTCCTCCTCTCCTGCTCCCCCTTTCCCCCTTTTCCCCCCCTTCCCCTTTCCCCCCCCTCCCCTCCTTTTTTTCCCCCCTTTTTTCCCTTTTTTTTCCCCCCTCCTTTTTTTCCCCCCTTTTTCCTCCCCCCCCTCCTCTTTCTTCCTCCCCCTTCCCCCTTTCCTTTTTTCCCCCTTTTTCTTTCTCCTCCTCCTCCTCCTTTTCCCCCCCCTTTCCCCTTTTCCTTTTATCCTTTCCCCCTTTCCTCCCCTCCCTCCCTCTTTCCCTTCCCCCTCCCCCCCCTCTTTGTTTTCTACCCTCCTTTTCTCCTCCTCCTCTTTTTTATTATATGTTCCCACATATCCAAAACATTGCGGGGGACATATAAATACTTTGTTATTTCCAAAAAATTTGTAAATGGCTAGGCAGGTGAAAAATGCCCCACCTGTCAGTGTGTTCGACAATTTGGTACAATTTCAGTACCTAATACTGTTCAGAACCAAAGATTGGTTATCAAATTGACAAGAAATACTACAAATTGTAATTATCAGAACATAAAAATTACATAAAATATGAAAAATAGTAAAAAAGGTATATCGGCAACACTTCTGCAAGCAGCAGGACTCGATGTTGCTGTCACATGAGCATCCAGTGCCAACTTCTCCGCCTCATATCTCGATAAGTACTGACCCTAAAATTTTTCTTTTATTCTAAAATACTTAAAAAAAATGTGCTCTTTTTTTCTATATAAAAAAAAAAAAATTTTTTCAAAATATTTGGGGCGCTGCGCAAGTAAACGTATATATACATTTGGACCATTTAAGGGTTAACTGTCATATCTGCTTGCCTCTGGGAAGACAGTGATAGTGCAAAAGATGATGAAAGTGTTTCTTTTTCAGGTCACCCTGCCTTGGTGGGAGATAGCCAGCATGTTAAAAAAAATTTCAGATATTCTAGTAATGAACCCTAGCTCATAGGCCACTGTACAATGTGCCAATGAATGTTTGATCTCAAACAGATGTGAACATTTGAAGAGTAGCTATAAAATTAAAAAATTTAATAAAAAGAACAGTATATGCAAACGTAATAGTAAATTAATCAGAAATGGGTAGCTTTAGTTAAGACTATGTTAGCAATCATCTTTTAAAATCAACCTGCTGTACTGAATGAACAAACACACATGGGCCCTACATACAGTTGCTGCAAAAAAAAAAAAAAATATTCCTACAACTTTAACTAAGAAATAAAAATGCATACAAATTTTGAGAACTGTCTTCACAAGAGCAAGGAAAACAGAATGGTACAAGTATGGGAAAGTTGGATGACTAAAATTAGAAGCCTTTGAGAAAGACATTAACAATGTGGATAAAGAAAGGCACCAAACATCATTCACAGCAATACATATTTTGGTAAGTGGCTGAGTCCAATATCCTGAATGGAAAAAGTGAAGTGTGAAAGAAATAGAACAAGAATAGAACAGTATACAAGAGCATTACTAAATTGGATTACCATGAAAAGTGCTAAACCTATAACGGTTATTCAATGCTACATAACAGGAAAAAAAAAAGATGATACAGGAACAGAGGTAGAGGTATTAAAGGAAGAGCATAAATAGAAAGGAGGGATTTATAGCTGGTGAAGTAAATCAGCATCAGTTTCGAAATCTTAGCTAATCTGCCCGATAAAGGGTTAAAGCTGAGACCATCATAGAAAAGGGAGGACAAAATAAGCAGGTCAAGCATCTAAAAAAATAGTATGTGTAGTATGAATGGTAAATGTATACCAAAAATAAATTTATCTAATGGACAAATTTGCATTGTTGAATATTTATTTAGGCTATATTCTGAATGCCATGAGCCTTAACAAGACAGCAATAAAATTCTTGGAAAGTGAAATGGAGCCTAAATAAAATATCTAAATGCTGCAAATGTGTCCATTTACCTTAAAATGTTTGAGGTTTTTTGTAGTTATTGCCCTTTAGTAGGTAAGTTTTCAGTGAGAATAATGCATTAGATAAGGAAATAGATGGAACGACAAAGACGATACGTATAACAAGAGAGCTAAATAATTTATACTTTTAAGAATGCTAAAGCCATATGGAATATATATCACAGGAAAAGAGCAGAGAGATTACATGAATATAGTGTGTGGAAGGAAATACCATGCAAAATTCTTAATGGGTAGAAATGGTTGAATATGATGACAGAAGTGGATCTTACTACTGTACTAGCATAATCAATGCAATTCACATGCAGTGGAAATATTTTGTGGAAATAATTCAAATATGAATGAGGAATATGATTTAGCCAAAAATGTTATAGTATACAAAAGTAAAGGAAAAGCACACACTTATAATTATGTTTAAGGGGAAGGGGTAAACCCTTAAGGAACATAAGAGTGCCTGGTGAATGGGAGATAATCATGTTTCATCCACTGAAGAGAAGGGTAGCTCAAATTCCTTGGATCACAAGCACTTCATTAAATGCATCAAGGCACCCCACTTGAAGGATAAAGCACACTAGCAGTAATGATGAATCAGTTCACATTACAACCTAAAGTTAATGAATTATCATTATCCCAAGTATTGCATAACACACCTGTAACAATTTAATATATAATTTTACTGAGGCTAATGTTTACTTACAGCCCATATAATGAGAGTATTAATATAGTCTGGATCTGAGATGAGAGAAACAACTGGCATGATGACTGATGAGACCAGAATTTCCACCACAGCAGAACATAAAGGAGCATTGGAGAAGTCCTCAGGAGGTAGAACATAGTACAAAATGGTTTCCACTATGTCACTTAAATAATCTGTTCGAAGATAAGTTGCTATTAGTTACATTATAATCAGTCATAATCTTCATAAATTGAAATCTAAACAAGTCCAGTGTATGTGTATGCTGTAGTGCATATTATTATTATAAAGAGGTATGAAACCCATAGGTATCATATAACATCTGTTGAATGAAAGATGATTCCAAGTACAGTAGGGCCCCACTTCACAGTGTTTTGCTAATACAGACATTCCAAATTATGACTGAAACTCGCTATACAGCTCCTCCCCCACTTGACTCGCCAATATGGCCTCCATGTGCCACTGTTTGTTTACATCCTCCCTGAGATCCGCATCTCTCCATTATGTCTGGAAACTTTCCAAAATTTCAAGTGTTTTAAAGTTATTACATATTCTATTACATATTCTTATCAACAAATTTTGTTGAAAATAAGAAAAAGTTTTGGAGTGAGATTAACAAGTTAAGAAAGCCTAGAGAACAAATGGATTTGTCAGTTAAAAATAGGAGAGGAGAGTTATTAAATGGAGAGTTAGAGGTATTGGGAAGATGGAGGGAATATTTTGAGGAATTGTTAAATGTTGATGAAGATAGGGAAGCTGTGATTTCGTGTATAGGGCAAGGAGGAATAACATCTTGTAGGAGTGAGGAAGAGCCAGTTGTGAGTGTGGGGGAAGTTCGTGAGGCAGTAGGTAAAATGAAAGGGGGTAAGGCAGCCGGGATTGATGGGATAAAGATAGAAATGTTAAAAGCAGGTGGGGATTTAGTTTTGGAGTGGTTGGTGCAATTATTTAATAAATGTATGGAAGAGGGTAAGGTACCTAGGGATTGGCAGAGAGCATGCATAGTTCCTTTGTATAAAGGCAAAGGGGATAAAAGAGAGTGCAAAAATTATAGGGGGATAAGTCTGTTGAGTGTACCTGGTAAAGTGTATGGTAGAGTTATAATTGAAAGAATTAAGAGTAAGACGGAGAATAGGATAGCAGATGAACAAGGAGGCTTTAGGAAAGGTAGGGGGTGTGTGGACCAGGTGTTTACAGTGAAACATATAAGTGAACAGTATTTAGATAAGGCTAAAGAGGTCTTTGTGGCATTTATGGATTTGGAAAAGGCGTATGACAGGGTGGATAGGGGGGCAATGTGGCAGATGTTGCAAGTGTATGGTGTAGGAGGTAGGTTACTGAAAGCAGTGAAGAGTTTTTACGAGGATAGTGAGGCTCAAGTTAGAGTATGTAGGAAAGAGGGAAATTTTTTCCCAGTAAAAGTAGGCCTTAGACAAGGATGTGTGATGTCACCGTGGTTGTTTAATATATTTATAGATGGGGTTGTAAGAGAAGTAAATGCGAGGGTCTTGGCAAGAGGCGTGGAGTTAAAAGATAAAGAATCACACACAAAGTGGGAGTTGTCACAGCTGCTCTTTGCTGATGACACTGTGCTCTTGGGAGATTCTGAAGAGAAGTTGCAGAGATTGGTGGATGAATTTGGTAGGGTGTGCAGGAGAAGAAAATTAAAGGTGAATACAGGAAAGAGTAAGGTTATGAGGATAACAAAAAGATTAGGTGATGAAAGATTGAATATCAGATTGGAGGGAGAGAGTATGGAGGAGGTGAACGTATTCAGATATTTGGGAGTGGACGTGTCAGCGGATGGGTCTATGAAAGATGAGGTGAATCATAGAATTGATGAGGGAAAAAGAGTGAGTGGTGCACTTAGGAGTCTGTGGAGACAAAGAACTTTGTCCTTGGAGGCAAAGAGGGGAATGTATGAGAGTATAGTTTTACCAACGCTCTTATATGGGTGTGAAGCGTGGGTGATGAATGTTGCAGTGAGGAGAAGGCTGGAGGCAGTGGAGATGTCATGTCTGAGAGCAATGTGTGGTGTGAATATAATGCAGAGAATTCGTAGTTTGGAAGTTAGGAGGAGGTGCGGGATTACCAAAACTGTTGTCCAGAGGGCTGAGGAAGGGTTGTTGAGGTGGTTCGGACATGTAGAGAGAATGGAGCGAAACAGAATGACTTCAAGAGTGTATCAGTCTGTAGTGGAAGGAAGGCGGGGTAGGGGTCGGCCTAGGAAAGGTTGGAGGGAGGGGGTAAAGGAGGTTTTGTGTGCGAGGGGCTTGGACTTCCAGCAGGCATGCATGAGCGTGTTTGATAGGAGTGAATGGAGACAAATGGTTTTTAATACTTGACGTGCTGTTGGAGTGTGAGCAAAGTAACATTTATGAAGGGATTCAGGGAAACCGGCAGGCCGGACTTGAGTCCTGGAGATGGGAAGTACAGTGCCTGCACTCTGAAGGAGGGGTGTTAATGTTGCAGTTTAAAAACTGTAGTGTAAAGCACCCTTCTGGCAAGACAGTGATGGAGTGAATGATGGTGAAAGTTTTTCTTTTTCGGGCCACCCTGCCTTGGTGGGAATCGGCCAGTGTGATAATAATAATAAAAATAAACATATTCTATATATACAACCTCTCCTCACTTAGCAATGTACTCGTTTATTGATGACTCGGACTAATGATGGGCTCTCTGACCAGTATGCATACCTATATAATGTACTATATTAGTGCTGATTTCCTGTAGTCTGTTTATTACAATACACAGTATATTAATGTATAAACATTTAAAAATATACTAAAAATATTATAAATGGTGCAAAGGTGACATTAAAACAATATCAAAGATGGCTGACACAAACCCACTACCATTACAGTATGCTCCTTGCTTAGCGACAAATTCGTTTACCGATGTGATCTTAGGAACAGAAGTCCATCGTTCAGTGAGAAGAAGCTGTACTCTGTACTTACACACTGTGCTGGCATGTAGGTACACATTAAAATCACTAAGAGTGTCTCACTAGTGTTGACACCATATTAATAATAATAGTAATAATAATAATAATAATAATAATAATACCAATATGTAATAATAATCACTCTGGGTACATTAAATGACATATATTATGTTAATATAGACATTTTCATTAATCCATCTATGATATTTCTTTCAAAATTATATAAGAAACATGCTACATACATTATAAACATGATACATACACCCATAGTAGAATAAATATGACAATATGTGATGTGTTAGATGGGCAGCCTGTCAGAGTGATGGAAAGAATTACATTTTGTCTAGTGCAACACCAGAGAACATGAATACTATAATATTACTGGAAGTAACTTAAGAAAATTATTCCCTTCGTATGCCTTCACTCGCAACTATTTATTTTTTCTACTGTACTAATGTGAAGACAACTTGTATACAATGTTAAGTGTTTGTACTGTGGGATAAATGCTTTACCAACTTATGCAACTGTACGTGTAATAACCAAAAGTAGATAGGTATTAACCCTTTGAGGGTCGACAGGCCCTCTCCGAAACTCGTTCTCAGGGTCGGCCAAATTTAAAAAAAAAAAATTATTTTCTCTTATGAAAAGATAGAGAATCTTTTCCCGATCATAAAGACACCAAAAGTTTGACATTTGATAGAAAACTTACGGAATTATGCTCTCTCAAAGTTAGCGGTCTCAGCGATGTTTACGCATCGGCGATTTTGCCCACTTTGAGCCCCATTTTCGACCAATTTCACTGTACTAGTCGACAAAAAACATGAATATTTCGCTAGAACTCCATTTTTTCTAACGAATGGGTGCAAGAAACCACTCATTTATGAAATTCAACTATCCAGTACAGTGGTCAGAATTTAGCAATTTTGCCAATTTCACACAAATTTCAAAAGATGCCAATTTCCGAATAGGGTAGAGAATAAACAAGAAAGACATTCCTGGCACTAAAATGACATTTCCTCTGGTCATTAGTCACGTCTCAAGGCCCCTCTTATATTCTTTTGCTTTCCACTTTGAATTTTTATTTTCACAAAAAATATAAGATTTACTTTTATGCAGACTACTGCATTAGTGTAAAAAATGGTATAAATATTATTGGTGCACTTGTGAAAGAATATTAGACTCACCAGTTGACGTGTATTGCACGCTTGGCACGATTTGTTTACTTTTGAAGTTTGGTAAAAATCGAACATTTCTGCTACTTTGAGCTCAATTTCAAGGCACCTTTCTTTGTAAAACCAGTCAAAATCATCTCAATTTCTGTAATATGTCTTCCATTCTATAAAATGAGACCAAGAAAACTAGAATACAACAATAAATACCATACGAAAATACACTGCAAAGTCGCTGATTTATTCAAAAAAAATGGTCAAAGTTTTTTTTTTCTCATTATGCACTGTGTGCTGCAGGATTTTTTTTAGACTGTGCACACTGACCACATAGACCCATTCTTTCATATGAAGGCCTACCAGCTTTCTCCCACTAGATTTGAGGCCGCTAGAATTTATGAGTACTAGTACGTCAAAAACCCCTACGCGTAAGACGTACTAGTACGACGAAAACCCTCAAAGGGTTAATAAGCATTTCGTCTGACTAAGTGACTTCCTTTATGAGTTTGACTGTTTTCATTCTTGGGGTCTCTTTCCTCTCTCATTTACAATAATAATAATATCTTTATATCTACAAGCACATGTATGATGGCATCTAAGGGTAGTTGTTAGGAATGATTAAATTCAGTGAACAAGGCATGTCGATGGTGGTAATAATAATAATAATAATTTTTTTTAACAAGTTGGCAGTCTCCCACTGAGGCAGGGTGACCCAAAAAGAAAGAAAATACTGTTTTTGCAGAGGTGCCTAGATACAACAGTTTACGAGCATATATAAAGATATATGTACAACATAGCCCTCCAAACTGCCAATATCCCAAACCCCTCCTTCAAAGTGCAGGCATTGTACTTCTCATTTCCAGCACTCAAGTTTGGCTATATAAAAGTAACTGGTTTCACTGAATCCCTTCACTAAATATTACCCAGCTCACACTCCAACAGCTCGTCAGGTCCCAAAAACCATTTGTCTCCATTCACTCCTATCTAACAAGCTCATGCATGCTTGTTGGAGGTCCAAGCCCCTCGCCCACAAAACCTTTACCCCATCCCTCCAACCTTTTTGAAG